AGCTGCCACAGGGAAGCAAAAGCCGGTTGGAGCAAAAACGATGGACCATGGCCAGGAAGCTGCAGAGGAGGAATAGCCGTTTCACACGGGGCAAGCAGCAAGAGCAGGGAAAAATATTCCAGCAGCTGAAGCATGACCTCTAAAAAAGCCCTCGGTGAAAGAAAGAAATTGTGAGGGCCGAGGATGGAGCTCGTGGCTCTCGGGAGGTGGTGGCTGGGGAGGAGAGGGAGGCAGAGTCAGGAGTCAGGAGGAAAGAGCAGCTTTAACTCACCGAAACAAAAAGGAAAAAAGTCACAGGGTTGGCTGCTACCTCCTGTTTGCAAACAGGCAGCCAGGCTGCCCCGCACACGGGGAAGCGAGGGGGGAGGCACAGCCTTCCCTGCCCTTCCCCACCCCACGCACGGGGCTGAGGGTCCAGCAGCATCCCACGGGGCAGGGGCACTGGGAAGGAAGCAGCCCTGACTCCCCACACCTCCACATCCCGCTCCCTAACAAAACCCCGCAGCCAGCAAACAAAAAAAAAACCCCACTGCAATGATCTAATTCTCTGCTCTATTTTCAGTGCTGCCACCGATAAGCACCAAGGTGAGACCCAACGCCGGATGAGCGCCAAAAAAGTGGGAGACACCGACGGCCATGTGCACACCCGGCCACGTGCGGAGGAAACAGGGATGCAGAGCCACGGCAAGCGGTGCCAGCCACCGTCTCTGGATGGGTCGGTCCCTTGGGCCACTTCGATGAGGGCAGCAACACGGGGTCCCTCTGCCGCGGGGCACCTCGATGGGGGATTTGGACCCAGGACGTGTGGGTGGATGGTGCGGGACGGCCAGGAAGCCAAGGAGATTTGTAGCCTCCTCCTCCTCACACTTCAGAGCAAGACAAAGGAGAGGTGCTACAGGCTGCTAAGTGCAGTTATTTATACACCTCGGAGTGGGAAGGATTTGCAAGGCACCAAGCTGGTTTCCAGAAATGAAAGTGCAAACCAGTCTCCCCAATAGCCCAAACCAGCACCTGCCTCCAGCCCCATGGCCGGACCTGCCCTGGACCCCCCAAGCTCCCCCAGCTCCACGTCCACAAGCTCTCCTGCTCCAACACACGCATTAGAGAACGACAGAGCCCATCGCTGCTGTCTATTAACAGCATTTCTCCACCCATTGCACTGCTCAATACTGGCAGGGTGCTAAAGCAATAACAACGCCCCGACACTCGCCTTTCCCTGCGTTCTCCCTTCCTAAAGCAGAAATCCAAGTATCGTTCGCAACAAGTGATTTGCAGACCCAGCCACCCTCGCTCCACAACTCGGAAGGCAGCAAACCCTGGCTGGCAGAGTAATAAAAGCAGCAAGAGCCAGACACAAAACCCAGCAGGTAGGAACCCTGCAAAGCCTGACTCAAGTGCCGAAGGACCTCCGGCAGCGAGGTGCAGGAACATCAAAGCGGGGTGTGGTGGGAATGTCCTCGCCCAGGTACGCAGGGAGCAAGCTGCCACCTTTCCTGCTTATCCCATTAGGAGTTGCTCTTAAAACACAAAGTACAGAGAGAGCAAAGTGGGGTGCTGACATCGCAGGGATTTTACCCCCAGGAGTTGGGACGGTGCACGGATCCCGCCAGCTCACCTGGTTGATGGAGATGGGTGTGTGGACCACCACCCCCCCGATGATCTCGGTTTTGTAGGCTACCTGGGGCTTCCTCTCCTGGGCCTGGGGCACCACTGGAGGCTTTGCAATCTCCGTGGCCGGTGGGACGCTGCCGCCCTTTGGCACCTATGGGAGAAAGAAAAGGGGTGAAGGGCACAGGCGTGACCATGCCCAGCAGCCCCACGCCCACACCGGGCACTATCGTCTCTGTCCTCCCAGCCTAAATGCAGCAATCTCTCTTTAAAAAATAATAAATGAACAAGGCACCCCAATTAAGGAGGGTGTGGGCCAGGTGGTTTGCAGGAGGCACTGGGAGAGGTGGGGTGGGGAATAATTAAGCATCAACTCACATGAGTCTGCGACTCGCCTCCGCAGCCCAATGTGTTTGTGGGACACCAGCTCCTTTAATTGTCCCCGCTCTACTTACAGCTGGGCTTAACGAGAAGTTTTCAGCTGCCTAACGAGGCTGAGCTACAGCACGTCCGCAGGGGCACAGCCGAGCACTATTTCACACGCTGAACGCCTGCGGGTCCCACAGCAACGCCCGGCCGGGCAGGTTGCATCTCTGCTGCGAGCGGCCCCGCATCCCCAGGCAGAGGCTGCGCCACGGGGACCCAGCTCCCAGCACCGGCATCCTCCCTTTCCCCCTTCCCAGCTCCTTCCCTCCAGCATCTGGCTCTGGATAGAAAGGCGAGTTTCTAAGTTTTCCTTCCCAAGTCTGCACTCCTCTAATGCCATTAATCGGGGTTTCTGGCTCCAACCCGCTCTCCTGCCTTCCACCCCAAAGGGCTCAGGGAGGAACCCGCGGTCCTCTCCACGCAAACCCCACCAGGCATCAGCTGCTGGCTGGGCAGAGCAGAGCTCTCAGCTGCTCTAAAGTCCAGGCAGATGGCTGGACTTGTATTTAGGCTGAGACCTGGCTTAAGTCTTGGCGGGCAGAGGTCTGTGCTAAGACCTCACAAACCCACAGGCAGGAGAGGATGAGATCCGGGTCACCCTACGGCCAGGCTGCCCACGGGGCAGAGCCCTGGGTGCTCTCCCAACAGCCAGGCTCGGCTGACGGGGCAGGCACCATCGCTTCTGCTTCGGAAACGCTGCTCCCCCCAGAGCAAGCACCCAGACCGTGGCAAGGTCCCGCAGGCCTGCGCTGCACAGCTCCCGTGCAGAGCACCAGCACCCACAGACACCGGCACGCACTGGCCGCCTGCCCCAGCAATGCGGGCAAGCACGAGGTGGATGTATGGTGAGGCTGGGGAGCCGGCACAGGCCGCCCACCGGAGGAAATGGTTTCACAATGCGGATGCAGAGATGTTGCACATGCGGGCAGCGGGGCAGAGGGAAGGAGCTGCATCTCTCTGCAGGCAGCAGCGCACGGGGGAAGGTGCCGCTCGGTGCTCGGCACAGGACCCCGCTACCATCAGCTTGCACCTCATCATCCAGCACCTGTCACGGTCACACCACTGCACATCTCCTGCCTTCAGCCGCCAAGGCTTCGGCTACAAAGACAGCATGCAGGGTGAGGAAACACAGGAACCCATTTGCCAAGAGCAGAGGAGAAGTCTTTGTGGGAAGCGGAAGCTGAACCTGGATCTCTGCACCAGAAGCAA